TTTGATTTTGAATGGCAGACATGCTTCATTTTGAATGGCAGATATGTTTGATTTTGAATGGCAGACATGCTTCATTTTGAATGGCAGATATGTTTGATTTTGAATGGCAGACATGTTTGATTTTGAATGGCAGACATGCTTCATTTTGAATGGCAGATATGTTTGACCTTGAATGGGAGACATGCTTCATTTTGAGTGGCAGATATGTTTGATTTTGAATGGCAGACATGCTTCATTTTGAATGGCAGATATGTTTGATTTTGAATGGCAGACATGCTTCATTTTGAATGGCAGATATGTTTGATTTTGAATGGCAGATATCTTTGATTTTGAATGGCAGACGTGTATTATTTCGAATGGCAGATATGTTTGACCTTGAATGGCAGATATATTTGATTTTGAATGGCAGACATGTTTGATTTTGAATGGCAGACATGCTTCATTTTGAATGGCAGACGTGTATTATTTCGAATGCCAGATATGTTTGACCTTGAATGGGAGACATGCTTCATTTTGAATGGCTGATATGTTTGATTTTGAATGGCAGACATGCTTCATTTTGAATGGCAGATATGTTTGATTTTGAATGGCAGACATGCTTCATTTTGAATGGCAGATATGTTTGATTTTGAATGGCAGATATGTTTGATTTTGAATGGCAGACGTGTATTATTTCGAACGGCAGATATGTTTGACCTTCAATGGCAGATATACTTCATTTTGAATGGCAGATATGTTTGATTTTGAATGGCAGATATGTTTGATTTTGAATGGCAGACGTGTATTATTTCGAATGCCAGATATGTTTGACCTTGAATGGCAGACATGCTTCATTTTGAATGACAGATATGTTTGATTTTGAATGGCAGATATGTTTGATTTTGAATGGCAGACGTGTATTATTTCGAATGGCAGATATGTTTGACCTTGAATGGCAGACATGCTTCATTTTGAATGGCAGATATGTTTGATTTTGAATGGCAGACGTGTTTGATTTTGAATGCCAGACATGTATGATTTTGAATGGCAGATATGTTTGATTTTGGATGGCAGACGTGTATTATTTCGAATGGCAGATATGTTTGACCTTGAATGGCAGACATGCTTCATTTTGAATGGCAGACGTGTATTATTTCGAACGGCAGATATGTTTGACCTTGAATGGGAGACATGCTTCATTTTGAATGGCAGATATGTTTGATTTTGAATGGCAGACGTTTATTATTTCGAATGGCAGATATGTTTGACCTTGAATGGCAGACATGCTTCATTTTGAATGGCAGATATGTTTGATTTTGAATGGCAGACATGTTTGATTTTGAATGGCAGACATGCTTCATTTTGAATGGCAGATATGTTTGACCTTGAATGGGAGACATGCTTCATTTTGAATGGCAGATATG